GGGTGGAACCTAAGGTGGGCATTGGGGATGTACAGGTAGCCCATTGGTCTTAGGTTTGGCGCCATATGTAAATTTCCAGGGGCGGGAAGATGGCATCACAAGTAACTTCCTCCGGTTGAGGCTTTTCTGGCTACAGTGTCCTGTCTGGGCCAAAACCCTTTCAGTGGCCTTCTCCCTCTCCCCAGTCTGCAAGTGGCTGTCAAAGTAAATTTGTAAGCCACATAATGTTTCACTACAAGACATTCCAACATAACGGTAGCTACCATAGTGTCTCTTTCCTTGAAATACTTGAGTACAACTTTGTATATTATAACATCAAACACAACATGATGGTGTAAAACCATTCAAGAGAATGAAAGTATTACAGGGTATTTAGAACCAACTAACAGAAAACGAACAACGGTTTCTATATTATCTCCTTGTCTATAAAAATTTTTGTTTATACTATCACATATAATAAAATTCAGTAAGACACAACATAGTAAACTGATGGAGACAGAATAAAAAAAGCTTCATGCGACTTCAAAACAAGATGATATTATATCAGCACTAGCTACTATGTGGCTTAAATTGTTCTGTCCTGACCTGTGTTATAATGTTGTTATGTCCTCTTTTATCTTAATCTCCTGCTTTCTTTTAATTTTTAATAAAAAAAAACTAAAAAAAAGTAAATTTTTAAGGGAGCAGGATTGGCAAGAGAAGGCAGGGGAGGAGCTAACCAAGGGTGTGACTGTTAAGTGACATTCAAATTCAGTATGAGCCTGTAAAGAGTTGCATTGGAGAGTATGTTCTGTTTTGAAGCAAGAGCTGTCAGTTTCTGGCTTTGGGCTTCCCAGTTTAAACTTGTTTACTTGGCACTTTTGGGCTTCTAATCATAAGGAAAAGTGTAGTCTTCCAAAGGCAAATCTTGAATAAGGATAGAGGGTGTAAGTCCTTGGCAGCTGATTATAAGAAAATTGAGAAAAGAGTGCACAGTTCTAACAAAAGGACCCCAGAGGATGTGAGTGTAGCACTGATAAGAATAGTGATGATTGCCTGCCATTAATTAAATGCTGACTTTTGCCAGCACTGTTCTAAGCTTTTTGTATTAGCTCACTTAATTGCAACAACATTCATATGAGGTAGCTAACATTATTTCTATTTTTCAAAAGAGTAAACCAGATTTATTTACAGAAACATCTTGTCTAATGTGACCTAAGGAGCTAGACATGTTGGCATATGCACCTCCTAGGAGGCAGAGACAGGAGAATCACAAGTTTGAGCCTAGCCTGGGCAATTTAACAATTTAGAGATACCCTGTGGCAAACAAAACATAAAAAGCTTTGGGAATGTTATTCAGGGAGAAGGCCTTCGGTTCAATCTCCAATACTGTAAAAAGTGAAAACTAAAACAAGGTAGGAAGGATCCAAAGGTTTCATGGTGCAACTAAGAATTTGATTCTGGATATGTGACTCAACAGCGTATGTCCTAAACATGATGCTGCCCACTTTTCCATAACAGGAAGCTGTTAAAATTGGCCAAAGCTCACTCATGCAGCCTGAGCTCCTACCTTGGGACCTCATAACAAAGTGAGAACACATCTAACACAGTCACGTGATACAATTCATACTAGTCACAGTTGTTTTGCCATTACCAAGAAAGTTTTAAATGCTAGCATCATCAATGATTTGATTCTGACAGTTCTGTTATATTTTAAATGATTTGGCTGAATTCATTTATCTAGTAAATAAGGAGACAAAGGAAAAATAGAATGGTAAAAGGAAAGGGGAATACAATAAATTGTTTCTAAAAGTTATTGACAGTGACAGAAGTGAATATGATGAACAAAGTTCTATTCATTAATTATACTTCTATTTTTCCTGGAATCTGTTTATAAAATTATTTTTTCCTAAATTTTAAGTTCCTGACACAGTTCTTAGTAAGCAGTCATCACCTCATCCCCCATAAATGATATAACTTTTGGCAGAGAATTAGAAAATTTAGTTACTTTCAGGACTGGAAAACTAATGCTGATAATATAATTTCTGATTTCTTTAAAATGATTATTTTATTGCCACATGAATTTTAGTTATAGAAAAATGCAATCATTTTGATCAAAGTCTGGTTTTTCAAGGTTGTCTGAATATCTTAGAATAGTAGAAAGGAAGTTTCTGATCTCTTAACTAGTAAATAAATATCAATCAAGAATATTTCAATATAAAAAAAGAATATTTCAATATAGTTCCAAATTTCAGGATCTTAGTTGCTTCAGAACACTGAATATTCTGTGACATGTAAAGATAGTATTATATGGAGGTTGGGGATTTAGCTCAGCGGCACCTGCCTTGCAAGCAGGTTGTCCTGAGTTCTATCCCCGGTACCGATAAAAAGGAAAAAGACAAAAAAAAGAAGATAGTATTATATATTTTCTACTCAAGTACAATAATCATACCTGCCATACCTGATATGGCTGAGTGGCATAACATTCACCTGGCATGCACAAGTCCCTGAATGCTACCCCAAGCACCAAAAAATAAAATGTTTATATATAATAAACATAATATATATATAGTAATATATATATAATAAAGATTCAGATTATAGTTTAGAGAGCCAGACAAGATATAAAAGCTAAAAATTTAACAGTTGGCTTAAGCAAGGAGAGAATTCTCTTTTTATGTATTTCTGCACGTACATTTTCTTCATGCATGATATGCAATAACCAAACATATTTATGAACTAGGGCAGTACAGAATGCAAACAATCACAATAGAGTTGCAGCCCATCAGGTTAATGATGTAACAACTGAAAGTCTATTATGCAACCAATCAGAATGCATGCTGGCAGAAATACAGCTGTCATATCTGGGTAACTTGCTAAATATCAACCCTACCTAAAAAGAATATGAAACTCAACTGTGCCCCAACTACTCAAGTTCCTCACACAGAATCTTATTTGAAGAAATACAAGTTATTTGGAAATACCATGGGAACTCTTCACTCTCCAGATCCATTTCTTCTTCTCCTAGCATATTTCTAGTAATACTAACTTAAGAAAAGCATTTCAAATCAAAAATAGTTAAAATTTATTGACATTCAGGTTCCAGGAATCGCACATGTAGTTTCTTCTGTAATTCTTACATCAGCCTTATGAGGTAGATATTATTATTTTTCCTGATTTACCTGTGAGAATACCAAGGCATGGACAATTTGAGTAATGTTTTATTTTTTCATAACTGTAAAAAATACCTGGTATAATCAACTTAAAAATAGGAAGATTTTATTTTGTCTCAAGGTCTCATAGTTTTCAGTCCATGTTGCTTTGGGCTGGGGGGCAAAGTATGGCATGATCCAAGCAAGTGGCTCACTTCACGGTGACTCGAAAACAAACAGGAGGCAGAGACTAGCCTTCACAGTTTCAAATGGGCATACTACAAGAGTCTTATAGCCTCTCACTGGTTCAAAATTTTAAAGATGTCACTACATCCCAGCCTTGCTGGGAATCAAGTTCCACCACGCTTACCAGAAAGAGTCTCAGCCAGAAAAGAAACTATGCCTTCCCATGAATCAGGCTCCATTATGCTTATTGGTAAGTACCTCAACCAGAGGAAAAACCAAGGCTTCCTTTCACCGTGCTGATGGGTAAAAGTCTCAGACAGAAAAGAAACCATGCCTTCTGTTGAAGCAAGACCCGCTATGCTGATCAGTAAGAGCCTCAACCAGAAGCAAAACAAAGCCTCTCCATGAGGCAGGCTCCCTCATGCTGACGGGCAAGAGCCTCAGCCATAAGAGAAACTATGCCTTTCTGTAAAGCAACCTCTGCCGTGCTGATAGGTAAGAGCCTCAGCCAGAAGAGAAATCAGGCCTTCCTATGAAGCAGACTCCACCATGCTGATGGGTAAGAGCTTCAACCAGAAGAGAAACTATACCTTCCCATGAAACAGGCTGCACCATGCTGATGAGTAAGAACTTCAATCAAAAGAGAAACTACACCTTTCCATGAGGCAGGCTCCAACATGCTGATGGGTAAGAGCCTCAGCCAGAAGAGAAACCAAAACTTCTTGGGAGCCAGCAGGTGGGCTGAAAAAACAGAATAGAATCCCCCCCTGCTGATTGGGAGGATTCAAGGTGAGATGATAGCAACTGAGGGGAAGGAAATAGCTTGATGGTTGCATTGTTTGGTTTACTTGTCAGGCTTTGGCTGGTGGTACCGTCATCCATTTGGAGAATAGCAGTGTGCACTGTGTCAATTGTGGGGAATATCCTCCAGTTTGGTTTTTAAAATCCAGTGTTTTGTTCCAGTTTACTTTTTTGTTTTATCTGTGCTTCTGGTAACCTGAGCAACTATTTTGAAGATAACGGTGTACAGTATTGTTCTCAGTGTCTTGTTTTGTTTTATTCAATGGGATGTTTTAATTGGTTTTTCTGTTTTGTTTTGTTTCGTTTTGATATGTCTGATGGTATGGACAACTATTGTGAAGATAACAAGATATATTATGGTAGCCATTGTTGATTTCCTATTATCCGATTGGAAGTTCTATATCACTTTCACTATAACTTTTGATTGGCTTTGTTTTGTTTTGTTGGGCTTTATCCTATTTAAAATTAAATTAAATTAAATTAAATTAAAAATATTTCATTATCTCCCAACGGAGATACCACAAGCTGAGAATCAAACCTTTCACACATGAAACTTTAGGAGAGTCTACAACCAAACTATAGCAATTAACTTGCTCAGAGTAATGCAACTAATACATATCAGAGTTGGTATTTTGGGTAGTGTGATGCTATTAGCAGCTGATTATTTTCATCAACACTCTATTATCATCTCAGCTCCATACTACTGCCTGGCTAAGGAAAGGAACTGCCAAAGATATTTTCTAATATTTGGGATACTTCTGGAAACCAGTACATGGCCAACATCTGTCTCCAGTACAGTCATATTTACCCCATTTCTGGTCTAAATTGCTTTGTATAAAGAGAAAACAATGAAGGAAGGCTGAAACAATAAAAGGCTATTACCTTATTCTCTTTTCTTCCACTTTTTTCAGATACTCATCTCTCTTCAGAACTCCCAGGATCATTTCCTTTTCATGATCTAATAAAAATGAGAGATTGATAAACTCTGAGGTCTTGGACATGATATTTCAGCAGCAGCTCTGAGTAGCAGTAATTGAGTCTTCCAGAAAGTGAATTGGTATGTACAATTGTTAAGGTTCTCCCTGACCAACCCAGAGTCACTCAATTGTTCAGGTAAAGTGGTTTTTAGAAAGCCTCTGCAGAACTGCCAACGGTAGCTAAGTATTCTTTAAGGCTACACAGAAAACATGATTTACTGAGACTGCATTCCAAAAATGTCATTATTGTTTTAAGTGAAAAAGATCTCCAAAGTCTTTGCTGTGATGTCCAGTCAGGCAGCGGCTGAAGTCCACTAATGATGCTCAACTTCAGTTCTTCATAAAGTTACAGAACAGGAATTATATTTCCTGGGACAGAACAGGTAAAACACTGAAAAGGTAAAAAAAAAGAGAGAGAGGAAAATTAATCAGATCATTTTTCACATTTTTCACTTGTAAAACCATCTATTTTTTGAAATATTGATGCATCTAACTCAAAAACAATTTTAAACCATTAAGCTTACACTTATTAAATATTTGTTTCATGGTTTTACAAATCATGTGATAATGTTTATATTGAGTCTGTTCCAGGTTCTCTATACAAATTGAATTTTCTCCTTTATAATTAGCTTCCTCTGCCAGCCAGACACAATCACCTCGCGCAGCTGAATTGGATCACCATTTTCGATATTACGTGTGCAGGTCAAGGCCCTGATGTAGCTCCCTCCTTCTTCGTTCCTCTCCCCATAAGCAGGACCACAGCACGAACAGTACCATTGGTGAAATTTTCATGTATAAATCTAAATATATCTCACAGGAAATGTTGAATGAAAAAATTAAGTTGCAAAAAATCACATAGAATGAAGAATATAATACATAAATATTGTATTTATTTAGGAAGATATATTTATAGTAGAATTTTAGATAAATTCATGAAAAATTTAAGATCATGTTTACCTCTGGGGGAACAAAATGATATGTAATCAGAGAGGTAAACATAGAGCATTTATCTGCATTGAGTAATGTTTTACCTTGAAGAAGAGATTCTATGAAAATTATTTATATGGTTGGTTGTATATTATTCCAGACATGCATTATCCATATTAGCCCCCTCCCTTAACTACAGTCTCACTTTTTGCAGTTTCAGTTACCTGCAGCAACCTGTTTGAAAATATTAAATGGAAAATTCCAGAAACAAATAAGCTAGAAGCTTTATTTTGTGTGCTGTTCTGAATAGTGTGATGAAATTCTGTGCCAAAGTGTTTTGTCCTGTTGAGGATATGAATCCTCCCTCTGTTCAGTGTATGTACATTATGCGTACTATTTGCCTGTTGGCCATCTTGTTTATCTCTATCACAGGGTTTTTATTCGAGTCTTCATTATCTTACTTAATACTGGCCCCAGAATGCAATAGCAGTGATACAAAGCAGGCACTGTACAAAGAGATAAAGCATGGAGGGAAAGATTAACTCTGGTACTATATGGCAACACTATGGAACATATAGGGAAAAGTTATGTACATATTTCAGTACAATATATTTTTGGTATTATCTTCAGCTTCAGGCTTACTGAAGGTATTAAGACAAGTCCTCCACAGATAGGAAGGCACTACTATACTATGAAATGGATGTTTTAAAACTACCTCCTTTTTAACAGAAGCTTTCCAGTGCCAAGTGCAATTGTGCACACTTGTAATCACAGCTATGTGGGAGGCTGACACAGGAAAATAACAAAGTCTGGGCGGTCATGGGTAAGTTAGCAAGACCCTGTATCAAAATAAAATAAAAAGGGTTGAAAGTATCAGTGGCAGAGTATCTGCCTAGCATACATGTGGCCCCAGATCCAGTCTCAGTAACAGTGAAAGAAGAAGAGGAAGTGGAGAGAGGAGGTGAGAGAGAAGGGGGAGGGGAAGAGAAAGGATTGGGAGAAAGGAAGAGAGGGGCAAGGAAAAGGAAGAGGCCTTTCCTCTCATTCTTAGGTTTTCAGTACCTTTCATTGCTTTTCTACCTACTGTCTCTGTGTACAGCACTTAAGGATGATGACTTGCAAGGAGACTTGCTGAATTTGATAACTTAGTATCATCCCAAGACACTGTCTCTGTGCTTCTCCCAAGTCTATGCACTACAATCTAAATGCAAGTTACTTTTGGTTTTTTGGTTCTCACGCAGTTTCCAGACATAACTATTTACCTACTCAAAGGCTGTTAGGAAGCCTCCCTGTAACTGTAAGTTTGAGCTGACCTTGAAATCTAGAACTGAAAGGACAGGATCTTGTCCAAACTCTTCCTAAATTTTCATAGTTCCTATGTGTCTGTTATATATACTGTGAATCCAACCAGAATTTTATTAAAATGACACAAACTGAATTGCTTCCTACCAACGAAAAGATAGTCCCCTCTGAGGACATTATAACAGTCACTGCTGAGTGTTTTGATTTCTTATAGCCTTTCCTCCATCTTCAAAATCCTATATGCAGCAGGAATCCGAGGGCCCTTCAGTTGAAAATAGGCAGGAAGAAGATTAATGCAGAATGTAATGTTTGTAAAGTTTGACATACTGTCAATTGTGTTTCCTCAGATAAAGAACATAATTGATTTTTCCACACCTTGTGTGTTTCATATGGCTTTAGCATGAAGTGGAAAAAATAATTGGAGACTCAGTGAAGGAATATGCTAACATCACAGTCTGATATACTCAAGAAATATTTTGTGTTTGAATAATTAAATTCATTATTTCCTATAGGAATATATTACAGAATTGTATTTAGATATAATTCTGGGGGTGGGAGTTATAAAAATGCTTGAACTGGGGTTGATGGTTACCTATAAACAGATGAAACATGGATTCAAACTAAACCAAACACAGAGGACTGTCTGGGCAGGGCCAGAATAATCACTTCCCAAGGGAAAACTCTATTATAAGTCAACTTACAGGGAAGAATCTGGAAGAAAATAAAATTTTATCATAGAAAATTAGTTGTGTGACTGGAGTGATTCATGGTATGCAAATTTGCCAAGTGACAGTTCCATCACCCAACAAGGGCAGCACACATTTAAAAATAATAGAAACTGTTATCTGAGATAAAAGACAGGGTATATCTGAATATATTTGATTAATGAGTACTCCAAAGTGTGTGTTAAAAATAGAATGTTTATGGGCAAGTCTGGAATGAAATTAATAAAAATAAAACTAATTTACTGTTTACATATTACTTTGTGACAACACAATAGTTATATGGACCTCAGCAAACCTGTAGAGATATTTAGAGTACAAGCTGAATAGTGTATGTATACCTTTCATATAGATTAGCAGTCATTCTTCAGAACAGCTGTAACTGGAATACCACACTAATTCACATGATTGTTGAAAAATGAGAACTGCCTCAGAGATAGAGATGCTGTGAGAAGAGGGAAAAAAGTAGTACTCTTGCTATAAAAGAGTTGAGCAGATGCTGTGGAAATGCAAGCATTTATTTTCAAAAGAGCAATTTCTTCTCACATGGGGTACTCTGCATGGTATATTATATGAGAGTGCTGCAGCTGAGATTTTTAAAAAGTTCTCATCAGTATTGGTTCTTCAAACAATGAGAAGCCCAATAGTGCCCTCGACTTTGTATTCATGCTTCAAGAGGAGCCTTCTAGGGGCTGGGGATTTAGCTCAGCGGCATAAGTGCCTGCCTTGCAAGCAGGTAGTCATGAGTTCGATCCCTGGTACTGATAAAAACCAAAAAGACAAAAAAAAAAAAAAAAAAAAAAAAAAGAGGAGCCTTCTGAGAACATGGCACAACAGTCACAGCTAACACTTCCCCATAGGATGTTATTAGAAGTTCTATGGAATTTTTTAAAAAGGTCTATAGTCTAACAAAATTTTGGATATGTAAATTTAAACCAAGTTAATTATTTTCTTCCACAGAGAGTCACTCATAATCTTTAATATTTTAATATTCATTAAAATTCCTTACACAACTCTCAGTTCCGAAAGTGATATTATTGATTCTTATCTTGGCCTCATTTATTTGGTATTGTTAAAAAGAAGACTATTTCTATGCTTTAAATTCTGATTAAGAGAAGGTTTCAAAAAATTCAAGAGATAAAGATTTAAAAGAAAAATTACATTTACATTATACATATTTATTTTTATTAAAAAGTATATATATATATATATATATATATATATATATACATATATATCTAAATCCTATAAAAGAATGGTAAAAAGTAAACCAAATTACATACTAGTACTATCTAAATAGTTACATTATGGATGTTCTTTAATATCTTTACAACTTTCTCTATTTGCGTGCTTTTGCAATGGATATACAAAAATCAGTACATTAAAATTCAGTAAATGTTATTTCTGTCAAAAATGTTTTCAGCCTTATAAGTGCAGTTCTCTATATGTCATGATTCACAGTGCACATATCCACTGGTGACTATGCTTGACCACAGCACACCGAAACAATGGTAAGAGCATCACAGTATTCGGCAGTAGAGCTTTGAGTTTAATACAACTGTTTTTAAAGTAGTGTTAAATTCATTGTCATGTCCAGTCTGAAAAGACAAACTCTAAAAAGAATATACAGAATCACTCCTGTTTGTGCCTGAGTTTCTCACACCACCTCTGGCTTAATCAGACACCTTCCTCCCTCAGCAGTATTTAGTTGTTTATAGATCTTTGTACTTTCATATTGTTATTATTTAGTGAGCTTATAACCATAGAGCAGCCACTGTTGGAGTTTTATTGGAATTTCATTGATTTTGTAGATGAGATTTGGTATCTTCATAGTGTTAGCTTCCAGTTCACCAACATACACCTTTTGTTATTCAGGGTTTTAAAAATGTTTTTAATTAGGTTTCATTTTTTTTTCTTTGATTTTTTTATCGGTACCGGGGATCGAACTCAACGCCTCTGAGCTAAATCCCCAGCCCCTTAATTATGTTTTGTAATGCTTTGATAATGGTGCCATAAATTATATCATAAAAAGAATAGAATCTCACTGAGTATATAAATGCTCATGCAATAAACATATATAAAACTATGTCAGAAATTACTATCATCTTGTTTTGAAAACCTATATAGCTATTGTTTTATTGTTGTTGTAGTCATTTTGCTTTTGTCGTTTTTGAGATTTGTTTACATTTATATTTTTCTGCTTTTCTCTTCTTTAAAATAAAAAAGTGCACAATACATACTGTGACTTGGGAAGAAACTGTTTAAGGGACAAACTGGATGGGGGAAAAGAAGAATGGGTAAAGGGAAAATATACATACATACAGGAGACTTAAGGTAGTTATATAGCTAGATTCTGTTATGTCATGCTTCAGAGACATATGTGCACCCAGATTTATAGAAGTACTATTTGTGATAGCTAAGTCTTGGAAATAGCCCAAATGTCCATCAATCACAGAATGGATAAAAAGATGTGGTATGTTTATACAACGGAATATTAATCAGCCATATAGAAGGATAATGTTGAGGCTTTTGTAGGTAAATAGAGGCTACTTGAAACCTTATACGCAAGTGAAATTAATCAAGCAAGCATTTGTAAGTATCATATTGTCTCCCTAGTGTAAAAAAGACTGAAAGAGTAATGGGATTCTAAATGGTATTGTGACGATGTTTTCATTTCCTTTTGGAAAGAAAGTGCTCAAAAGGAAAACATATCTGGGCAAGGGGAAAAAGTAAAAGACGAAGGGAAAAGATTGTATGTATATAGGTATACATATATGTATGTATGTATATACAAGATAGGTAGCTTTAATACTAATCTCCATTAGTTCATCCAATAGAACAGTTTGTGCTTCCCTTGTTTGATTGTTTGATCATTTTTTTATGTCTAAATCTTGTAACTTGAACAATGATTTCTCAGATAACAATATACAATATATTAATTACTGTTAACTTCCTACTATTTTTTTTTAAATTCTGTGTTGTTTCTATATTTTTTCTGTTTTGATTTTAAAGTAAAAAAAGAAACTGTTCTGGATCTAGAGGATACATAAAGAACGTTTCAGTCCTATTCTCAGGGGTCCATTTACTTTCTAATGATGTAAGATATAAACATTAAAAAATCAAAAATTTCAATTTTACCTCTGAGAACATGAATGAAACAATAACTAAAAAGAAGAAAGTAGGGTCTGGGGATTTAGCTCAGCGGCATAAGTGCCTGCCTTGCAAGCAGGCAGTCGTGAGTTTGATCCCTGGTACCGATAAAAACAAAAAAAGACCAAAAAAAGAAGAAAGTAATGATTTTATGTTGTAAACACAGTCAACTGTAAAAAGTGAACACATGACCAGTCCAGAAAACAGTGGATAACTCTGGACTGGGAGCTGGGTCAAAGGCAGAGAGATAAGAGGAAGGAGATGTCAGGGAGAATGAATTTGATTTCTAAGTGAGGTATCTTGGCTTTATCCAGTGTTTTTCAAATTTTTCTAGGAATGTTTTCTCAGGAGACACAGTAAGGTAGGGTGAGTAACTAAGATTGTGGAGCCCATTCTTGCCTCACACAGAACAACTCTGCTTTCAACTGTTCTATGAGTTGGATTTCCAGTGGGATTTTATTTGAAGAAAGGCTGCCAAGATATTAAATAGTCTCAATATTACTCTCATGCTATCAAGATAGTGAATACTTTTAAACCAAGGAATACCACAGTCAGATTTCTCTTTTAAGTTTGGGTTTTGAAAGACCAGCACTGCATAGTGATTAACTAAAAGACAGGGTAGAGACCAGATAGGCTCTTGAAAGAGTGCCAAAGAGAGATTAAGAATTAAAACTGAATAAATGGGGAAAAATCAAGGGTCATTTTTGTGATACTTGGGAATAATCTTAGTAGGATCCACTGATCAGATAAACAGGAATATTATGAAGAAAAAAGAGAGTCACTGAGGTTTACAGCATAGACTGAATGGATTTAGATTTTAGTATACACAAGAGTGTCTATGGGGTTGATTAAAATAGATTCTTGAGATTCCATATCCAAAGATTCTGACTTAATAAAACTGGGGTAAAACCTAGGAATTTTGATAGAATACTGTGAACAGAGATGGATAATATAAAACAGAAGAGCCAGATCAGTGACAGCTATGCAGAGAACAGCACAGATTGAGTAGGGTTGACACACAAGGACACACATAGGAATTGGGGAAGTAGAAGAAAATATTCTAGAAAGATACCTTTAGAAGTTACTTAACTTGAACAAGATGATGCTGATACAGGAGCAGGAACTCTGGTCCAAATGTAGACTCTGAAATTTTTAGTTGTGGAATCTTGGAGAAAAGACTGAACTTCTGTGTGTCTTGGTTACATGGAAAATGCTAGAATAGCCCTGAAGTCACAGTAGATCTTCAGAAAGTCTGAGCAGTTACAATTAGTAGCAGCATTAGACCTATATTTTAGCCTCTGTTTCATATTTGTCGGCCCATGTTCAATAATTTTCTGAATGTAGTAAAAGATTTTTACTGGATTTAATTCTTGTTCAAGGATCTACTCTGTAGGTTGCAGTGGAACAATTTTTTAGTTATATCCTATTGTGCATAAATATAAAAAAAAAACAAATAGGAGCATTTTCAGAAGAACAATAAGACTCCAGAATTCACTTGAAAGAAAATCAATGGTTGTTCAGTTTTGTATGTATTTGTTTAGAAAAAATCTTCCCATGTTGAGAGCTCAAACTCTGTAATAGCCAGCAAACATAATTAAGTGGTAGCTGTAAATGGTTTGAAGGCAGTTAAATTCTTTCTTCCCGAACCTGGGTAGTAAAAACAGATCATTCCATTTTTTTAATGAGACTGAATGGACTTCCTTGAGGGTAAGATTAATAGCATTTTCTCTATACTAGCCTCTGAATTAAAAGGAGGTGATTCCTCAACACAAATTGAGTTTTTAGTAAACACCTTGTTCTAATTAAAATATTCAACATAAAAATCCTACATTCATCTGAGGGCACAACTTTGGATATACCATTCTCTGTTGGAAATTGGAAAAATATCTATTTTGCACCAGGCTTTTCCTACTTTGCTTGAAAATTTATCCTTGATATAATGCCACTTGATACAATACAATAAACTTCAAAATTTTAATCACACAAATTTAATTGTGATGTCTGACCAGGGGACTGAAGACCATTGCTGTCTATACATAGCTCTTGGGAGGAGGTACAAATAGACTCCACCTTACTTTGCTATTTGAAATAAATGTATTCAATATGACCGTATATTTTTACTAAGTGAACCCTGCTGAACTTTCAGTTTTGTAATCTTCATAAAAGTATATTTACATTTAAAGTCTATTTTTAGACGTGAGAACATGATTATCTGATAGCTATGAGTGAAGCGTGATTTCTTACATTCCCACTTTCCTGTAGTATCTATATTTTGGTGAAGTCTACCATTCATATTCTTAGAAAACATTGTCAGCATTAATTAATTTTTAAAATCTATAATTTGATTTTGACTACAGTTTTATTATTTTTATATTTATTTATTTGTTGGTATCAGAGATCAAACTCACGACCTTGAGATTGGCAGGCAGGCACTTATGCTGTCGTGCTAAATCCCCGGCCTGGATTTTGACTCTTTTATGTGCTTGAGAATGGTATATATCTGAAGTTGTTTATAAAGTTCATTTTCTTAGTTCCTCTGTAAGTGCCAACACTCTGTTTTAAATGTTTTCTAACTGTACAACACCAAAATTAAAGTGCTACTATAGTTTATTTACAGAACTGCCAACACTTCAATGAATTGGACATGTTTTAATGTACAAACAGAGCATTTCCTGACATTTTGTTAGATTAAATCAAATTAGATTAAATGAATAGGTCGACTGTTACAAAGATTGCAACCTAAATTATACTTTACCAAGAGTTACAAATGGTGCTGTGTCCATTGGAAATGAACAAGGTTATTAAAGTTTTGGTGAAGATAAATTTGATTTTAATATTTTTTCAGTGAAAATGAAAATATATTAATGTTTGCAGCTGATGGAGCTTAGTAGAAGGTTAAAAATTAAGGTGAAAGATCATTTAAATGAATAGAAGATAACCAAAATAGAAAATAATTATACCTAATAAAGATGTATAGTCATTGTGTAAACATAGCCAGAGAATTTAAAATTTCATTTTTAAAATTAACTTAGTTTTTCTACCAGTATGTGTTACAGTACATGATTATTTCCAAGAATTTAAAATGTTATAATAATGAAATAAAATAGGAAACAAAGCAAAATGCTAGACTCAAAAATCAATGTGAATTTTTGCAAAGAAAAGATGAAAAGTAATATGCACTAATGCCCAGAAGCATGAATGAAGTATAGGATAACATAAAACATCAGTATTTCAGAACTTTAATGCTGAAATATAAAATCACAAATGAGAAAACCAGACCCTTCTTGCATAGGATTACTGTATAATGGAGATACTTATTGTTTAAGTAAATTTTATCTGTTGTAAAAATTATCAAATATTTCATGGCATTTGTCAAGGAAAATTGGAGCTACAACATTCAGGACAGAACTCCAGAACTCTGCCCTCTCAGGAAGATGCTACAGCACAGAGGTGCTGAGATGTTCTTAATCAACTCCTGAAAACACGGGCTCTGGTGTTTGACAGCCTGGTTCTTCAACCTGATCCAATTATCTATTAATTGTTTATGATATTTCTGTTCCTTAATTTATTCTTATATGAGTGGGATGGTGATGATATGTCTATCCCATAGAGTTCTTGTGAAGATTAAATGGGTTAAAGTATGTAAAGTCCAGGTGTGATGGTGTACAAAGTAAGCCCAAGATTTGGGAAGCTTAAACAGGAGGATCTCACGTCACATGCCAATCATAAACTACATAGGAAGTCCGGGACCATCTTGGACTACATAGATAGATCCTTTCTCAAAAAGCAAATAAACCAAAACTCAAAAGAATACAACCAAACTAATCCAAACAACAAAATGTGTAAAGCACTTAAAATAGTCCCATGAATTGTTCTAAGTATTATTTTTTTCTTTCTGATTATGAAAAATGAAGCTAAAATTTCATCCAGTGGAGCTACTATATGTTAATAAAAGTAATACTCTAAGGAATTATTCTATACATTGAAAATAATACCATTTTAAGGTTCTCCCACACTGAGATATTAGAAAGTTCTACTTCTTAAAGAAAGTGATCTTTAGAATATAAAGGATGCATTCTACTTTTTACCATTTCCATACTGACATTTTGATTCTGTGACATATGACATATTTCATGATCCTAAAAAGAAAAACCATTTAACACTATTTTTTTCTTTAACCAAACTATGTATTTGAAATGGACCCATCCTTGAGCCTCAAATGGTTTCTCTGAATTTTCATGACACCTTAGTGTATATTTGCTCAGTTCTGCCCTAGATGACAAGATCATTTTTATATGACTAATGAGGGATTGGATTACCTTGTGGTTTTGCATTTCCATTCTTGCTCTATCTGACCTTCATCTGGTTCCCCAGTTCTAACAAGTAACTCCCACCTAGTGCCCACATCTAGTCTTGCTGACCCTCACCACCTCTTCTGTACTTGAAGGGTGCTATGCTGACATGGATTTTAAGTATGGTACGTCTATTAACCCTTTTAATCCTACAACACTTCTATGAGTAGAAACCATTATTACTCCCATTTTATAAATGACTAAACTCAAGTACAAGGAAGCTAAGTAAAATTTCCCCGATTCCACACAGCTGAAAAAATAGAGTTGGTAAGAGTAGAATCGTAGTAGAACTGAGATTTACACTCAGCTTATCTAGACGTAAAGTCCATGCTGTCAACTCATACACTCAGTAGCTAAAGCCTGCTCCTCATTTATTTTTCTAATAAAATATCTTACTTTATATTGATACAGTGCTCCCAGTTTAAAATGGTTTTGCCTCCATAATGTGATTTTTTTCCTTGTGCCCAATGTGAAAGACAGGCTGACTGAGGAATCCAAGCTAACAGAGTACACAAGTGGCAATGGATGGTAGGATCAGAATTTTAATATGGGTCTTTTGCTGTGTTCTTTCTACTGTCCTCACGATTCTCTTTCCAGGATTTACAAAATGAAGATATTTGTTAGGTATGGACTTTCTGATTGAAATTAGAGCTGATCAAGTTCTTGAATTCTAAATTGTTCTCTTTGACTGACAAAGGGAAGAATGAAAAAATAGAAGAAAAAAGAAAAGAAAGATGAGAAAACATGACTGAAAGACATAATGTGATGTAAGAAATGAAAGGGTTTGATAATGATTTGGGTACCTAGATGAAAAGAAGAATTAGAAATAAAATTGACCTCAAGATTTCAAATATGAGAAATCAGCTGATCATCAAAGCTATTTTCAGAAATACTGTGAAATAAAAAGTGGTTTGACACAAAATAGATTTGTTTGGCTAAAACTGTGATGAATGTCAGGTGACAATCAAACTTACAAAACATAACAGAAGGATAAGACCAGAAGATGGGCATTCATTTAATGACAATACATAAAACTACAATTAAAAGCTACAGATGGGGTAAAAGGCAATAGGTTATGCTCTAAATGCTGAATCTACAGGGGAATCTAACATGTAGGGAAAGAAGAGGAAAAGGAGAGGAGGGATGTAGTAAAAAGCAGATGATTAAATAATGCAAATCAATAGACAAGAAGGGAGGAGAAAATTCAAGAAACGAGAACTGATCGCGTATGTCAGTAAAGAAAAGCAGACAATTGGAATGAGGTTTGGAAACTACTCATCAAATTTATCACAATTTAAATGAATTATCTGAGTAGAATTACATCTTTCCTAATTAAACTACAGGTACATAAAGGCAGACCTAATTGTTCCCTACTATAATTCCAGTGACCCTATAGATGATAGATAGATAGATAGATAGATAGATAGATAGATAGATAATAGATAGATAGATGATAGATAGACCATAGATAGATCTATCTATATATATAGATAGGTTTAAATATACATTATGTAGATATAGATAATGTTTTTCATTCAAAGGAAACTGTAATACTTAAGCAAGTGCCTCTGTCTTATTTCACATCACATTATGTTCTCAAATTCCATCCGTTTACTAACAAATGTCTCAACTTTATCTTTCTTTATGGCAGCACAGTACTCTGTTGTATATAAATGCCACATTTTTCTATCCACTCATCAGTTGATGGTCATTTACACTTTCATCATCTAGTTATTATAAGTTATATTGCTATAAACATAGGTATGCATATATTCCTATAATATGATGATTTTCACTTTTGGAAACATACATATAAAGAGGATAGTTGGGTCAAATGGAAACCCCATTTTTAGTTACTTGAGGAATCTCCACACTAATTTCCCATAGTGCTGGTACTAGTTTACATTCCTACCAACAATACAGAAGAATTCACGTATCCCTATATACTTGCTAGCATTTGTTATTATTATATTTTTGATAATAGTCATTAGTGAGGGAAGATAGTATCTCATTGTAGTTTTAATTTGCATTTCTCTGATGGTCAGCAAAAATGAGATTTTTCTATGTATCTATTGTCCATTTGTATTTCTGTAAGAAGTGTCTATTCATTTCAGTGGCCTTTTTAAAAAATTGAGTCATTTATTTTAGGGGAGGACTAATCTTTCTGTATTCTTGTCAGTGCTTACCTATTCATTGTTTTAAAAATATTTCATGTATACTAATTTGCTTCATTTATACTATAAATTTATCTTAGCTCATTAAAAAGAAAGTTTTGTGTTATCCATTTGTCTCTTATTTTAAGAACTTTTTGTTCTATGCTTTGTACTTAAACTTTCAAGATAATTTTACATTAACAATTAAGTATTGTTAATTATCTTATCATTTTATTATGAGATTTTGGGAGCTATTTCATAAAATAAAAATAAAAATAAGAATATTCAGATAAAAAAAGCATCTGGTGCCTAGCTGTGTCTCACCAATACCTGTCACTAAATTTTAATTGAATGAATGAATACACAAATAGGTAATGGATTTCTTTACAGCACTATATACAGATGATTTGGGAGTACAATGTCAGTAATGTGATCAAGATAGATTTTATCTCACAGAGTAATTTTAAAGCTATTTTTTTATAGTAACTGGGGGTAACACTTAGGGCCTTCACATAGAGATACACTCCACATATTTAAATTTTTTTTAATTTTCAGGCAAAATCTTGGAAAGCCAGTAAGTCACTTAGGCTGTGCTCAAATTTGCAATTCTCTTGTCTCCACTTCTCAGAGGACTGTAACTTCCTCCATGTGCCACTTTGCTTGGTCGCAAAAGTCAATTAAAAAAAAAAAAAGTGAAGCCACAGGGGCGTGCTTTACTAACCATATCTTACCAAAATGTTTTGCTGAAAGAGAAGCTGACTCATTGAACTTGCCTTCCCAGCACACAGGTATTTATCACATTTTGTTTCTGTATAAGCTTTGATCATCTTCCAGATGATCTTCAGAACTTAAAGTGGTCACTACAGATGTCAGATCTGCCAGTGATACAGACAAATTAGGAGCCCCTTGTTTTATTATTCTCTTCAGCAGAACCAGAAGTCTGTGAACTAGGACTTGGAGGGATACGGAGAAATAATAATCAGAAGATGTGGAGAAACAGAAGACCCAGGAAATCATGAAACTACTCAAAGAAAGAGATCACCAGGAATGAAACCTGCTGAAGACAAGATAAAGAATTCTGTGAAATCATCTAAAATACGCAAATCTGTGGTGCGTGGAGGGGGCAGATGGTGAGAGAACAAAGGACTAGAGAGCAGACACATGTAACATATGGGGTGCATAAAAATATCCTTACAAGTGAACCTAAATAGAAAGTATTAAACATGATTAGCTAAGTGTTTATATATGCTGGCAAAACATCTCTAACACATGATATTGTATAATAAACCTTAGGTTAAATGGACTGCTCATTTCACAGATTTTAAAACTGTATTTCCCTTTTTTTCCCCTTAACATACTAAATAATTACCAGAAGGTAGTTTCAGCAATCATGTTAAATGTTCTCCAAGACACAAAGTGACAGATAGCCAATAATTTTATTCATTAAGTATGTTAGAATACTTTATCAAACCAGAATACGTGTAAAGACCACACAGATAATTTCTAAATTTAGGCTAACAGAGAACTTTAGGAACTTATCAACACATTGAAAAAATATGAATCAACAGTCAAGAAACCAATAAGATATTTTCCTCACCTTTGCTCTTATCCATTTTTCTGATGTTAGTTGCTCATATGTAAATGTATATGCCAATGTGGGTTTGTGTCAAGTCTCTAGTTAAGGATTTCATTAATGCCCAAAAGAATGGCTTTGTGCACTTAAGATATAGAGTATTAATTGTAATGTCATGTGTTTAAGCTATTATCTAAACACACAAAACAATTATTATAAAATGAAAACCTAAATACGTAATTTCTGTGTTTAATGATTTTTAAGAAACTAATATTTAAGTTGTATTTTTAAATGTATTAGTACATATAAATGCTATTTATACTATTTTGAGTTATACATATATATTATTTTTTTTACATATATATTATTGAGGCATACATTTTGATATATATTATTTTACAATCATATATCTTTACTTGAATGAGGAAAATGCACTAAAAATTTAAAAATTATATTGAAGGAAAAATGTTAAACCCTGATGCATTTTTTCCAATACATATTCATATTTCCAATCAATCTCATTTCTTCATGCGACTAAAAATATCATATTCATATTAAAATTATTCAAGAGTTTTCAGACTTCATACACACACGCAGACACACACCTGAGCATATTATAGATATTTATCCACATCAAGAATGGGACCGAATGCAAAAACAATTCAATAATTATAAACACAACATTCAATATTTCTGATAAATGATAGAACCTGAGAGACAGTACTGTCTTCTACACAGACATGTGAGAGGTTTTTGGTAAAATGACAATATTTCTGCTGTGAACTTGATTTCTGTATGTCATTAAAGTACATCTTTGTACTTAGGCATATTCTATTCATTGTTAAGTAAGGTCTAATGCAAAGCTTCAATTTTCTGATTAAATTCAGTGCTAATAGCAAGACAATACTCATGTTTCTCATCCCAACCCACCAAATTTATAGCAGGCTAAAGGACAAAATATTGCTTCTGCATATATGCTTCCCTATTTCCTTTTATTGTAAAATGCAATATCAAGAGGTTGAAGGAGTCATTTTCTTCCTGACAAGCAAATTACTCACCACGTTCATGCACAAAAACACAGAACATAACAATCAAGAAAGCAGGTATCACCCTGGAGGTTCTCTAAACACACCAGTCTTACCTCAGCCTGAAGGTTTCCTCAATTGGAAGGTTGCAATATTTTGCAGGCTTCTTTTTCTTTCAGATATACAAACTGTACAATTCTAGGCTACTTGCCCCTCATGAACCGCTAGGAACAGGAACTTGAAAAACTAGACTCCCATGTTCCCACACTGTATTTACACATGCAACACACCCAGTAGCAAAGAGTAATCTTTATCTGATGTGGACAGCTATTCCAAGACGCAGACAGTATCTACATAGCTGAGCAAGGATCAGGAGAGGAAAGGTAATAATTTTCATCTTCTAAAGCACATTTAAGAAGGTTTTTGACATGACATACTTTTACACCAATGTGTTGAAGGTGATACGTTCTTTTATTATTTTTCCTAACTCTGAAAAACTATTCTTAAGGGACATAAGGTAAAAATACAAGTAATAATAATAACTAAATACATTCACCAGGTATTGCTGTAAGTTCTTTTCAAATCTCATCTCACTACTCCAAATTTTATTAGTTATATGCTAATATTATTAACTTAACATTACACATGAACAAACTTCATAGTTTGCCCATAATCACCCAATTAGTAAAGCCAGAACATAAATCAAAACATACCAGTACCTTAACCTATGTACAAACACGTATTTAATCATGATATTGCATTGAACATTAGATAAAAAAGTCTTCTTAGCCTTTTTAGGAACTATGCTGTATCTCGACTTGGGGAAAGTGAAAGTTTCATAAGATTTTTCCCCAATGATTGCTAATTTATATAACCACAGTCAGGTACTCTGCTTACTGTAATAGGGGATCACAAAGATGAGGTACTAGGTAAATGAAAAGATGAGTGTACCTTTAAAGCATCAAGAGAATTTTCACTTTCCTGTGTCCAAAAATTTACATAAAAGAAGCCAAGCCTACCTAGGGACCCAAACAGTCTGGGAGTCTCAGCACTCAGTATGTGTCCTGCTGAAAGTCTTCTCAGCATACTCCACCCAGCTGGGGGACCCTGGCGTGACACTTGTGGCCTGTTGAAAGTCTGCCCAGCATATGACAGAAGATAATCAGGACCTACCATGAAAACATTTAATCTCATAGATACGATAACACAGAAGAAATAGGCATATCTCTAGATATATAGAAGCTACCAAAGCTGGATCAAAAAGATATAAAACTTATGAAAACCTCAATTTCAGTTAATGAAATTGAAAATGTAATTAGAATCTTACCAACAAAGAAAAACCCAGGTACTAATGGAATTACTTTTCTGAGTTTTATAACAAATTTAGAGAAGACTTAATGCCAACACTCAAACTCTTCAGTGAAGTTGAAAGAGAAGCAGTTCTCCCTAACTCATTCCTGGAAGAAAAGATTAACCTAAATTCAAAAACAGAGAAAGACTCAACCTAAAAAAGAGAAATAGAGGCCAGTTTCCCTAATGAATGTAGATGCAAAAATCCATAATAAAATTCTGGCAAAGAGAATATAGAAGATTAACACCGTGACTAAATGAGATTCATTGCAGTAATTTAGGGATGGTTCATCATACACAAAACAAAAACTGTAATACACCATATCAATAGAGCCAACAATAAGAATCATGTGATCATTTCAAGAGATACAAAACAAACTTTTGATAAAGTCCAACACTCATTTGTGATAAAAACCCTATAGAAATTTGGAATAGATGATCTTTACCTCAATCTGATAAAAGCCATATATGAGAAACTAACTACCAACATCTTACTAAATGGACAAAAACTGAAAACTTTCAGCATAAAATCAGAAACAAGACAAGTATGTCCAGCATCACCATACCTGTTCAATATAGTTCTGGAAATATTAGTCTAAGCAATTAAACATGAAAGAGAAATAAAAGGAATAAGGGAAGGAAAGGAAGAAATTATGATTTTTTTGCAGGTGACATGATACTCTACATAGAAGACCCCCAAAACTCCACCGAAAGACATCTAGAGCTAATAAAAAATTCAGTAATGTAGCTGGATACAAGGTTGACACTGAAAAATCAATAACATTTCTTTACACAAACAACAATCTCACTGAGAGAGAAGTAAGGGAAACCAAACCCTTCATAATAGCACCCCCAAAAATGTAATCAAATAGCATTTCAAAAATTGGAAAGACATTCCCTGTTCATGGATAAGAAGAGCAAATATTGGGAAAATGTCCATTCTCCCAAAATTATTATACAGATTTAATGCAATTCCAATCAAAATACCACTAGAACACCTCACAGTTCTAGAGAAATTGTTTCTAAAATTCATATGGAACGAGAAAAGCCTTAGAATAGCAAAGGCAATTCTGAGCAACAAAGTCAAGGCAGGAGAAATCACAATCCCTGACTTGAAGTTATCCTACAAAACTAATATGATAAAATCAGCATGGTGCTGGAATAAAAATTGACCTGAAGAAAAAATGGAATAGATTAAAAGATACAACCACAACTAAAAACAAACTCACTCACCTTATCTTTGACCAAAGAGCCAAATATGTTCACTGGAAGAAAGACAGCTCTTTAACAAGTGGGGCTGGAAAAACTGGTTCTCCATATGTCAAAGAGTAAAACTGGATCTATGTCTATCACCATACACTAAATTAAAATCAAAATGGATCGAAATCTAAATATTAAAACAGAAACACCAAATCTGCCAGAAGACAAATTAGATCAAAATCTTGATGACATAGGAGCAGGCCAGGACTTCATAAACAAAAATCAAATTTTCTGGGAAATACTTCCCAGAGTTAAAAACTAGAATCTCATCCTGTTAAAAAGTGTTTTTGCATAGCCAAAGAAATCTTCAACATAGTGAAAAGAAAACTCAATAATTAGGAAAAAAATCTAAGCCAATTCTTAGACAAAAGACTTCTGGAACATATAAAGAATTAAAAAAATTAGTTCCCAAAAATTCAAAGACCCAATCCAAAAATGGAATAGCTACATCCAGGATTTAGCTATAATAAATTATGTAGCTATGAACATTGATATGTATGTGTCACTATAGTATGATGTCTTAGCTCTTTGGAGAAGTTACCTTAAAAAGGTATAGCAGGGTCATATGGATTTCTAGTTTTACTTATTTGAGAAACGTCCATATCAATTTCAATAATGGTTGTACTAGTTTACATTTCCAACAACAATGTAGGAAGATTTCTTTTTACCCACAGCCACACCACCAACATTTGTTGTTTTGATTTCTTGATGGAATCTTAGTGTTTTTGAATTTGCACTCCTATAATGGCCAGAGACGTTGAATAATTTTTTCATATACTACTTGGTCATTTGTACCTCTTCCTCTGTAGAGTGACTGCTCATTTCACTTGCTCATTTCTTTTATTTTAAGTGGGCTAATTATTTTGAGTTCTTTTTTATTTTTAATTTCATTGGAACATTTTAGATATGCATAGTGATCACACACATCACAGGGAATTCATACTTGTACATAGCTCCCTCTCCCTCCTTTCAATATGTTTTACTCTTGTCATTTCTGCCTTACAGAGTTGTGTGAGATATGTGTGTAGCTGAATATAGCTGGATTATGTATATCTATGAGCAAATCTAAAAAAAATCAATAGCAATATCAAATCATGGATGTCTGGTTTTCTCTGAGGAGTAGAAGTGATTTTGCTTCCAAATCATCATTTATATGCATAAATGAGGCCCTATAAGAGATATCAAGCAAGATGTTTTGTTGATTAAAGGATAGCAAAAATCTTTTTTGTTCTTATTTAAAATAATTTTTGCTACAGAGTGGGAAAGAGGTGGTTAAAGAAAAGGAATGAACAGCTACAGGACTTTGGATAGTTCTCAGTAATAGAATTTGAAAAGGAACAAATTTGTATTTTAAAAATTTCCAAACTGACTCAATTTTCACGATTCATACAGTTATCAAAAAGAGGTTGTGATTACTTTGGACTCCAATTTAATAATGGATACTAAATTTAACCTAAGAATTCCACAATGCCATCAAAAACAATACTTTCTTTTAGAATTTAAGTCTGCTTTTAATAAGGTTTTATGGTGTAAACAGTCGCTCTTCCATTTCTTATGGTATTAAAACAGATTATTGATACTTTGATGGCTTAAAAACACACACATTTATGTGCTTATAGTTTTGTATGTAGAAAGTACAATGATACTCCAGTTCAACAACTTAATTCATTCCATGATTATGGGGAAGATTTATGCACTGGTGTTCATCACATGATTTGGAGTTCATGAAGAGAAGCAAAATTTTGTCAAATGCTCCTGATTGTGAACTGATTTGTTCATGAACAGAATCACTCATGAACCAAGGCACCACAGTACAAACTCAGTCTCTCTAGGTTACCTTCTTTGTGATCTGCTCCCAAAGTAGAGAATGTGTCTGTCAACAGAATAATTTCCAACAAATTGTTCTCACTTTATCAGATTATTCTGTAAAATAAAGGAAAAACTGTTACATTTCAGTATTTTTCCTATTTATTTATTGTCTCTTTGCATTACATTATATTTCAATTTTATTGTATTACCAAATATTTGTTGGTAGCCAAACTACAAGCATTCACACTCTCAGAATTCACAATACTATGTTAATTGTTCAAATAACATGTCAATTTGGCCTATTTATCAGGTTTAAAACTGTACATAGGATAATTACCTAATATGGGCTTATAAGATAAATAAATAAACACCTAAATAAGATACTGGCAAAATAAAAGAGGATACACAGAAGGGGAAAGAGAGGGAAATAAAACCCAGATGTGATGGCACACGCTTGTAATCCCAGCACTCTAGAGGCTGAGGCAGGAGAATTATTGTAAATACGAAACCAGTCTGAGCTAAAAAGTGAGCTCAAGGCCAGCCTATGCTTCATAGAGAGACTTCATCTCAAAGAAAAAAAAAAAAGAAAGAGAAAGAATAATTGTAATGGGTTATGTACATGCACCAATATCCTACACTGAATATTATCAGCATGTGCTGAAAATATGTACTAATAAAAGTTTAAAAAAATGAACAGAATCCTTATTTATAAAAGCTATGTTTCCATTTCCTCCTTCTAGCCTCGTTTTTCTCTTGTCCCTTATTTTCTTTCCCCCTTCCCCATCCCTAGTTTTACTTTCCATTTGAACGTTTTCTTAATATTTCATAATGTCTATTATACAGTTTGGTCCTTATTCACATTTTTGGTTTTTCTCATCAGAGAAGCAATGCAGTACTTACACATGTGTGTCTGATTTATTTCACTTAAGAGTATGGTCTTAAGGTTCATTCATTAACCTAAAAATGTCTAGGAGGGGAATAGGGGTTGAAACAAGGAGAAGAAAATTTAGAAATGAAAAATCAAAACATACAATGAAGCTAGGTTTGGTGGTACACATGTGTAATCCCAGCACTTGGAGATTAAGGCAAAAACTGCTACCAGTTCAGTGTCATCCTGGGCTACATAGTGAGTTCAAGGCCAAACCTGAACTACAAAGCTAGACCCAGTCTCAAAAACAGAGACACATTGTGTAAAGGAACAAATTCCCTATGTTGAGTGTGATCACTATAGGTATCTAAAGTGAACTAATAAACTTAATTAATTAAAAATAAACAGAATCCTAAATGAAAAATGAAATAATATTGTGAATATTTTTACACTTAAAACACTTGTTAAAATTTCCCATAAGCCCTTGAAAAGTCAGAAACTTAGTTTTGTCACTTTATAAGAAGAAAGTTGTTAGCAATAGGTTTATATGACATACTACTGTTTCAGCTATACAAAAATACCTCATCAAAAGAGCTTCTCAATCTTTACTGTTAAATTTATTTTTGTTTTTTATTTTATTTATGAATGACACATAATAAGTATATATATTTTTCAGATACAATGTGTTATTTTGATACACGTGTATGTTGTGAAATGTTGAAGCTATAGTAGGGAAGTAAAATTAATATAAAAACTTTATAAAATGTCCCATGTGTAAGAGGGACCCGCACATTTATCAGTGCCCTCATTGTCCACTTAACATTTTAAGGCACAATTTCAGTAATAATTTTTTAAATGTTTGTGCATTATTTGCCTACTTTAGCTTGCACCTAGCATTGTTTAAGTTAGAAAATTTCACTTGAGAAATCATATCATACTTATCTCTGGAGATTTATTAAAATATAGATACCTAGTACCTACTCTATACTTCACTGAAAGTAAGACTAAATTGCTATATTTATAGACTTTTCCAAAAAACTCTTTTTTGTGATTATGTAATTTCCTTTGTATAACAAAGAAAAGTAATTTTCCCTGTAGTTTTAGTATTCTTGTTATGCTACCCTTTCTTTTTATTTTTAAAAATTAGATTTTACTTATAATAACAGAATTGGGCATTTTAAATTTCAGTCATTAGCAGTTAGATTTTGATGTACACTGTGATGATTCTGTGAAGGCCTACAATCAGCTACCAGGGCAGAGATTTTGTCTTCAATCAAGAAGCACTGTCTCAGAAGCTCTTGAAATAGAAGATCTCATGTATTCCATAAAATCAACCCTGGTACATGAGCTCATGATCCATTGCATCACATAATCACCTGTGACTACCATGTGAGTGGTAAGGATCAGAATTTCTAGAGCATCTTCACTGAGAAGCCCAAAACAATATCTAGTGAAACAAGACCTAGTTTACAAAGTTCAAAGGTATAAACTGTAAAATCAATCCTTTTCCCCTGATTTTTGTGACCTTTCCCCCAAACACACACACACACACACCCACACACACACACACACACACACACACACACACACACGCACACACACAAGTTTTTCAGAATGAATTGCAGAGTACTTTACTGAAAATCAAAAAACTCTAACAGTTTAGTATTGGAGACTTAACCTTCACTTTTCCAAAACAAAATATTAGATGCTTTCTATCTCAAGGACTTTTGTCCAGGACAGAGTACAGGAATGAGCCTCCATAAGGGATCCTCATCACCACAGTGCTGCTCACTTCACCCTGTGACCTTGACCAAGTTGATTATCATCTCTGGGCCTCTGTGATCTCAGAGGTCAGATTGAGTCCTTAAAAATTCCTGTCCTCTGGATGCTGTTAGAAATTTTCAGTAGAGATCTTTCCCTAGGAAAAGATCACAGTCCTTCAATTGTATAGCACAAGCAGACTTTTGAAATAATTTTTCACCTTTCTTATTTTATAGGCATGGAAGCTAATGGTCCTCCAAGTAAATCACGCTACAGGATACCAGAACCCAAGTCTCCTCCCTATCATTTTAGTACACTTACTCCATGTAATAAAGACTCGTCTGCACAGTTCAATTGGTGATTTATTTTAATACTACAATTCAGACCTCAAATATCTTATAATCACATTATCAAACAGCTTCCTTCCTACTAACTGGTTCACTTGAGTATATTTTGCTTTAGTAGAAGTAGTTTAGGAACATTTTCCCCAGTTATTTTAAAATAATAGGAGAAACCAACCTTTTACTTTCTTAAAGGAATCTGAAGAACAAATATTAAAACAATACCAATAAGGCTCTACTTGCTATCTTTCATCATATTTAAGATCATATAATTTCAAAAAGCACAGAATAAAATAAATTCAGTATTTCATTATGGCTTCAGGACTTGTGCATGTCCATAAACTGTTACTGATTGGTTACAACAGGTAGGGAAACTGAGCATCACTTTGTTAGCATTTTCCTCATTGGTGAGACACAATGTCCAACACCCCTAATTTAAGTAAGTAGAGGCTTAATTAGACCCATGAGTTTCCTCCATGATCAGCTGGCTCCATGGCAGACACAAGAAAAGAGGTGGTCAACTCCTGGTATCCAAGAAGCAGAGAATAAAAGGAGGGGCTAGGGACAAGAATACACCATTGTAGGTCACAACTATAATGCTAATGGTCAGCTCTGTCAGCCACATGATTCAATCATCTCCCATACATATGAGAATTTGGGAGAATATTTTTAATCTAAACCACAAAAATCAGCTTGTAGTAGCCTTTATATAATCTGATATATCTACACATTTAAGTAAGTGGAGTAATTTCCCTAGACAGAGCAAACATCAGTATTGTACATGTACAAGTTTAGCTAAATTGATGCCAGCAAAGTATGGTTGTGGGGTAAATTTGGGACCAAAGTGGTGTGGTTACTGGAAATGTTAGTACTATTACAAAGAAATTAAATATCTTGTGTACGAATAACAAAAAACATGCCTTGAGGGCATCTCAGAAACCAGTAACATTCCATCTATAACAGATTCAAAGGTGCAAAATTGTAAACCTTTCATTCAAGAAAAGATTCCTTGAGGGCTCTGTTTCAGAAGGGCCACTTAGGAAGTTAGTTCCCCAGGATGCAGTTCACAGATGCTACTGCAGTCATGAACTAAAAAGGGTCTGGATCTCCCCATATTGTCATCAGACTTTGGCATCACAATTGTGATTCTGGTTTTACCACTCACAGAATGTAAGAGTTGTGTGGTCAGAGAGGCTTCCACCAGTGTTTTAAACATGGTCTGTTAGTTCAGGCAAGGAGCCACTGACAGGGCAGTGAGTGAAGCTGTGGGAATGAAGGTTAAGATGCTGTGGAGACCTGAGAAACTCAGACATGCCAGGAATGTGGATCATTTGCCAAGGAAACCTGCAGGCTGTGAGTGCACACAGCTCAACAGAGGTTGGGTGGGCGGCAGCCAACAAGGCCATAGTAGCGGGATGGCCTAAATCCTTTGAAATTCATATCTTACCACCATCTGCCTCACATGCTCGATGTGGAGCTACAGGACTTAATGTCTGCCTTGTTGAGTTTCGGGATCATTTTGCTCTAACATTTTTTTGTTCTTTGACTCTTCCTTTTTGAAATGGGAATGTTTATTGTGTTCCCTCATAGCTTGAGTTATATAACTTGTTCGGTTATTTTTGCAGAGGTTCATGCCTAAGCCCTTGCGTTTAACCTTAAAAGAGATTTTGACTTCTGAAAAATGCTGAAGCTATTATGACTTTGAGGACACGATTATTATGTTTTCACTTCTGTGCAGGGTAGTCATAATGTGTAAGACAGAATTATTAACAATATCCTGTCTATTTGGAGATTAACCGTGGTCTAGGGAGATGTATTTGGGTGTCATGTTAACAAGGGTAATTAAACTTAATTGTGACAACATCTTTATCTTGGTATCTTCTCAGGAGATTGGTAGCATACATGTCTGAGAGTGTCGTAGCGGGTCATGGAGGCATGACTTTGGGTGCTAGGTCTCCTCACTCCCTAATTCTTTGCTGATATATTTGTCCTACTCAACTTCCTGGCCACAATTATGTAAGAATTTTTGCATCATTACCGCTTTATGCTATGATGTTTCTGCCTTGACTTTAGCCAGGTATAAGTTTGTCCTTTAATTTGTACATGTTGAGCATTGAATCCCAGAGATGAAAATGGTGACTAATACATTGCATTCCTACAAGCACATCTTCAGAAAACACTAAGCACAACACTGGCACTATTACTTTCCTTCTTGCCATAGTCCTGAGTTAGCCAAAGGCTAAGCAAGGTTCTTCTGTTTCCACACAGACAGAGAGAGGTGAATCACCAGGTAAAAGGAACAAAGAGGAAGGTAGAGTGTGGTCTTATGCCTTCCTCTTCTGCTTTACGCTTTCTTTTTCATTTATGGACCATGTGGGGAAATTCTCAGGTCATGTGCCAACAGCTAGAAATCACCTGAGACCAAGCTGAAACAGGAGGATTGTTGTTAGTTTGAGGACAGCCCAGGCTACAAAGTGAGTTCAAGGCCTGCCTGAACTGCAGAGTGAAACTCAGTTTCAAAAAGACAAAAAATTATTGGCACATTTTAGGTATACATAATGATCACATTCATCATAAGGAATTTGTATCTGTACATGATACAACTTGATTTCCCTTTTCTCCTGTCCTACCTTCAACCACTCTTCTCCTCCTTATTTATGAATCTTTGTTGTCATTTTTTCTTTCTTTTCACATTTTTTTTTCTTTTTTCTTCCTTCTTTTCCCTGATCCCATTCCTAGTTTCCCTTCCACCAGAAAAATTTTCTATTTCACATCATCTCTTATATATTTTAGTCCTCATTTACAATTTTGATTTCCTACTCCAGACAGAAAAATGCAGTGTTTACACATGTGTGTCTAATTTATTTTACTTAAGAGTATGTTTTCAAGGTGCAATGCTCATAAACTAATGAATGGAGAAAGAAGATGTGGGGTTTTTATACAATGGAATACTTTTGCGCCATAAGGAAGTACAGGTTGGAGACATTTTTAGCTAAATGGATGTATCTTAAGTGCACCTTTTGTATAGTACAAATTTTTGAAAAGTACACTTTTGAAAGTACAAATTTATAAATGAAAAATCAATTATATCATTTCTTGGCTTTTGATTTTTTTTGTTTTCTTTTCCTGTGTGTGTGTGTGTGTGTGTGTGTGTGTGTGTGTGTGAAACCTGGTATTGAACTGAGTACATTGCTCTTATCTGGCAAACACTGGGCCACTCAGCCATGTCCATGTCCCAAGTACCGATGAACATAATGTTTAAAATGTCCATTCCAGCAGTGGCCTCCCTGCTCCCAGCTGTGCTTGGGGGATTCTGGAGTTCTGAGCAAGCAAGTGGGCAACATGGGTTCCAGAGGCTGGGCGGCCTGTGTAAGTGCCCTGCACATTTTCCTCCGAGTCCAGCTAGTTTGGGACCCTCACTCATTCCCAGACAGGGAACTTTGTGGCTTCCTGGTGCACTGGACCAGCGTGGTGGGTCCTGGGCAGCCTGCGGGAGCCTCCTCACTCCCAGCTGTGCTTGGAGGACTCTGAAATTCTCGGTGAGCAGGCGCCACAGGTTCAAGGGACTGGGCTTGGGCCGGCCTGCCCCACCCCCAGTGACCCTCTCTCAATCTGGGGAGCTGGGTGGCCAGAGTCCCAGGAGCTGAGGGCACAAAAGAGGATTTCCAACAGGCCCTGGGGAAGCCTTGGAATAACACTTGAAACACTGGAAACACAGAAATATAGGAAAATGACAAAACGAAAGACCAAATTACAGTCTTAAACCTCCAGCCCATCCAAAGAAACCTTAGGAACAATGTACATGGAAGAAAATACATGCCATACACCTCAAATATCGGACATAATAGCAACTGAAACAAAGAAGCAACTCTGGGAAGCTTTAAAGGAATTCAAACTAGAAATAATCTCCCAGGCCAAAAAAAAAAAAAAAGAAATGATAAAAAAATGAAGGAAATGCTGAACATATCTAAAGAAGACACAGTTAGAAAATTGGAGGAGCTAAACCAAAAGATAGAATCCCTGGATGATCAATATAAGAAACAAACAGAATACATAAAGCAGATGCACAGAGATATACAGGAAATCAAAATTCCATTGAAAGCTGTAAAAACCGCCTCAATGAAAGTGAAGATAGAATTTCAGACCTCGAACACAAGATTGCAGCTAGTGAACAAGAAAGGTCTTTTAAAAATAACAAGGAATCAGGAAATAACAATTCAACAACTGCAAAATAATGTAAAGAAAAACAACATAAGATTGATAGGGGTTAATGAAAAAGGGGACAATATAAAGGATATCAAGAGGATATTTAGAGAAGCAATAGCTGAAAATTTCCAAACATGAGAGTGGAAAGCAACATCAGGATCACTGAAGCATATAGAACTCCAAATAGTCATAATCAAAATTAAACTACACCCAGATATACAATAATCACCATACCAGAAATCCAACATAAGAATAGAATCTTAAAGCTGTCAGAGAGAAAAGAAAGATCACTTATAAAAGAAAACCTATCAGAATCACAGCAGACTTCTCAGCAAAAACAATAAAGTCAAGAAGAGCACTGAGTGAAGTATTCCAGATCCTAAAGGAAAATGATTTCCAACCTAGACTGAGGTGCCCTACAAAACTGTCCTTCAAAATCGATGGAGAAATAAGATACATCCATGACAAAGAACAGCTGAAGAACTTCATGATCACCAACCCAACCCTGCAAAGAATACTGAAAGATAGCTTAGATACACTTAGGAAAAAACCACTATGCAAAGCAGACATTAAACAGAACAGAAAGATATAGATGTAACAGCAGAAAGATAACATGTCAACAATAAAAAACATATAACAATTATAACCATTAATGTGAATGGTCTCAATGTACCAGTTAAAAGAAACAGACTGACAAAATGGATCAAAAAACAAAATCCAACCATATGCTGTCTACAAGAAAACCATGTAATCCAAAAGGATACTTACAGACTGAGAGTCAAAAAATAGAAAACAATACTTCACGCA